TTCAGTGCTGTGAAGAAAAATAGGAGGATAATTGAGTTCATCCATCTCTCTACCTCTCAGACCCTCCGTGCCCCCCGACCCTCTCAAACACACCTCCAAGTCCAGCTCCAACAACTTGCTTCACCTCCTTCTGTGAGATTGTCTTGAAAAAATCCACTTTTACTCTCACCTCCTCCTCCTCCCCCCTGACCCTCCCTTTATCCTGTTTCACCTTTGTATTTGCACTTGCTTGTTCTCCATGTGTGCAGATATTTAGCTTCTCTTTCCTTCAATGGTTAAACCTTGGCGGTTTTTACCATAGTCTACAAAACTGTGAAAACCTGGTAAAAAGTTGTTACATGTTACAAAATGTTTTAATATAGCTCTATCAATTTGTTTTTTTTTTTATTTTAAAAGTGAGGTATAAAAAGTGGCTAATACTGAGGTATTAGCTGTTCCTATGTTATAGCTTAAATGGAGTGTGTTTTTCCCCTGCACCATGTTAAGAAGTGTAAGTAGATCAGAGTGACAGATTTTTACCCCAGAGCCCAATTAACACAGATCCATGCTCCGTGGACAGGGACAGTGTTTGAGACCGGGCTCTGAACAAAGTAAACAAATCATCTCAATGAAAGTGTGGGGCATTTGACCCTCATTGATTTATCCAGTGAAAACACACTCTCCTGGCAGCAGTTGAACAGGCAGGTGGGGTGTTGGTGTTGTATCATGTGTAGCATCTTTTTTATAAATATCTGGAGTGTGGGTGTGAGGCAGAGAACCAGCCTGAGCAGCAGAAACCCACCGTGGTGCCCTACTCAGCAGAACAAACACAATGAAAACATTCAGCTGTGCTCCTCCAGATTGTTCTTGGCCACAAAAGTCCTGTCGGAGGAAACACAAGCCCACCTCCACTGTACACCACTTTGTGTCTGCTGAAACCTATGGATTTTTCTGCCCTGTCTGCGGTGGAACTTGTGCAGCGTGCCAAATATTATTTAATTAAATCCCCACTCCAGTTTGCTGCACACAGATTGTGAGGAGGGGGCAGAGCTAATTGCTTAACTTCTATTATTGATTTAATGTTGTAGAATTGTTTTGGCTCGGCCTGTAATGGTGACGACAGTGGAAAAAGAACCTGGCCTGGGTGTTTTTCAGTCTGCACGGCCTGGTCCTGGGCAGCGTTGCGGTCAGACCTAAGTCCATAGAAAGTGATGATTAGTTTGTCTTACCTGACCACTGACCAGAGGAATCCACTGGAGTTCCAGTAAGTGGGGCTTCAGGCACTTGGGGTTTTTAATTTCACCCTGTAGCCACCTGTCTGTCTGTCTGTCTGTCCGTCTGCCTGAATTTACTCTTTATTTTTGCCTCACAGTTGGGGGTCTTTTGGAGTCTAATGAGCGCCTCTTACGCTGCTGACGCACTTTGACTTGGGCTCATATTACAACTTATTAATGCTGTATTCCAAACATGGATGTCCTGTAGGTCATTTATCAATGACCTATGACTCTGAGCACTGTTCTGATTCTAATAATTCAAAGAAATAAGCAGGTAACCTTAGTATTCACTCATTCTCAGAATGCAACAAAGTTATATATTTTTAGTCCTGATCATTCTCAGAATTCATTTAGTGGATAAATCCAATTCAAGTTCGCAACAAAGTTATATATTTTTAGTCCTGCACAGCTGTTATAACATACCAGATAACCAATTATATAGTACCTAAAAAATGGATGTAAACTTTTCCTCTATTTTTAAATGTGAATTAACTTTCAATTAGCCCAGAAGAACCTTCATAAGTCAAAAATAAAATATATAATACCATTAAGGAAAACTGTTGGACAGTAATCCTCGCAATATTCGTTTCTCTGTGGATTGATTTGATGTAAAGAATTGTTGCTTCCCTCTGCTGGTCACCTGACCAGTGTGTCTCACCTGAAACCTCATTAGCTGTACCTGTCTCACTGCTCTTAGCTACAGTCCACCTGAATGTCTCGTGGCATGTCTCCACTCCACTGCCGTCTGCTATTCAGGTATAATGAGAGCCAATGAAAGCAGTCCTCTGCCTCCCTCACTTCCCCCCCAGCATCAGCTGAAGCCAAGGCCGGCCGTAGGCCTCATTATTAAGGCAGCGGCCAGCACTCGGGCCCAGTCTGCACAAACAGCGACGGCGTTGGGAGGAAAAAAAGGGAGAAGTGGCCTGCGGGGGGATGAGGTTTCAATAAACGTCAGCCAGCGTCGTCTCTGTTTGGACTTCAAATTATTACTGGCTGATGCTCTTATTATTTTACAACCATAGGTTGCTGTTGAGAGAAAGGTAGAAGGTAGAGAGCAGAAGGAGAGAGAGACTTTGGAACAGAGCCCAGGGGTAAAAAAAAAATCAGGGGTTATGAATACTGTAATAATCTTTAAAAATATTCCTGGAGTGGCCGCAGCTCAGGCTAAGAATAGGCTGGAGAGAGAGCAAAGACGCTGCTGAGGATTCTGGTGAAGATGGCTCAAGAAGGGAAGTGCAAGTGGGGAGAGATGGAAAGGAATTGAGCAAGGGGGGTAAACAAGTGAAGGAAGAGGAGGAGGAGAGGAGAAAAGCATGTGAGAGGGCCATAAAATCAACACCTCTGGTAAATATAACTTCCAGCTGCTTCAGGACATCTGCTGGGAAATTACCAAACAGTAACTTTTTCAAATAGTATTTGAGACTGAAAGTCACCAAGCTCACAGGTTTAGTTTTATTATTGATAAATCCTGCCCCGTCTATCACCCCTGTAACACTGCTGCACTGGTGCCTCTCCACAAACCACAAATATAAAACACAATCTGGACTGGACCTGGCTAAACTAGACTGCATTCTACTGGTCTAGACTAGACTAGAATAATCCAGTGCAGCTGGACATGCTCTACTGTTAGTGTTGTGTAAAAACATTTGAAAACAAATTGTTTTTGCAGCTTCAGTTTTTTTTTCTGGGAGAAATTGTTGAAAGCGCTGTGTTTCTATAGAATTGACTGTTCAGTTGACTTTGTACCATATGAGATTCAGGATCGATAGAGGTCACATTTGTGCATCTTTTCCTTCTGTGATGAGTTGAGGAATTAAAAATGAAAATCAAAAGATCACAAATCTGGCCCCGCATTAACAGTAGCACATATTTCAGAATGCTAAAGTTCCTGTTGACTGCTGTGGTGAAGCTGCTGAAATCTTAACAGTGGTCTTAGTGTGATTTTTGTGTGGATGTTCACAGTGACCCGTGCCAAATAGAAATGTACGTTCACCCCTTTTAAAAGCTTCTCCCTGCATAGCTGTGCATGTCTGTGGTTGTTAAAGAATTTCTGTGCATAATCGTATGTGTAACAGCATCCTCCTGTAAAAGCACAGCTGTTATAACATACCAGATAACCAATTATATAGTACCTAAAAAATGGATGTAAACTTTTCCTCTATTTTTAAATGTGAATTAACTTTCAATTAGCCCAGAAGAACCTTCATAAGTCAAAAATAAAATATATAATACCATTAAGGAAAACTGTTGGACAGTAATCCTCGCAATATTCGTTTCTCTGTGGATTGATTTGATGTAAAGAATTGTTGCTTCCCTCTGCTGGTCACCTGACCAGTGTGTCTCACCTGAAACCTCATTAGCTGTACCTGTCTCACTGCTCTTAGCTACAGTCCACCTGAATGTCTCGTGGCATGTCTCCACTCCACTGCCGTCTGCTATTCAGGTATAATGAGAGCCAATGAAAGCAGTCCTCTGCCTCCCTCACTTCCCCCCCAGCATCAGCTGAAGCCAAGGCCGGCCGTAGGCCTCATTATTAAGGCAGCGGCCAGCACTCGGGCCCAGTCTGCACAAACAGCGACGGCGTTGGGAGGAAAAAAAGGGAGAAGTGGCCTGCGGGGGGATGAGGTTTCAATAAACGTCAGCCAGCGTCGTCTCTGTTTGGACTTCAAATTATTACTGGCTGATGCTCTTATTATTTTACAACCATAGGTTGCTGTTGAGAGAAAGGTAGAAGGTAGAGAGCAGAAGGAGAGAGAGACTTTGGAACAGAGCCCAGGGGTAAAAAAAAAAATCAGGGGTTATGAATACTGTAATAATCTTTAAAAATATTCCTGGAGTGGCCGCAGCTCAGGCTAAGAATAGGCTGGAGAGAGAGCAAAGACGCTGCTGAGGATTCTGGTGAAGATGGCTCAAGAAGGGAAGTGCAAGTGGGGAGAGATGGAAAGGAATTGAGCAAGGGGGGTAAACAAGTGAAGGAAGAGGAGGAGGAGAGGAGAAAAGCATGTGAGAGGGCCATAAAATCAACACCTCTGGTAAATATAACTTCCAGCTGCTTCAGGACATCTGCTGGGAAATTACCAAACAGTAACTTTTTCAAATAGTATTTGAGACTGAAAGTCACCAAGCTCACAGGTTTAGTTTTATTATTGATAAATCCTGCCCCGTCTATCACCCCTGTAACACTGCTGCACTGGTGCCTCTCCACAAACCACAAATATAAAACACAATCTGGACTGGACCTGGCTAAACTAGACTGCATTCTACTGGTCTAGACTAGACTAGAATAATCCAGTGCAGCTGGACATGCTCTACTGTTAGTGTTGTGTAAAAACATTTGAAAACAAATTGTTTTTGCAGCTTCAGTTTTTTTTTCTGGGAGAAATTGTTGAAAGCGCTGTGTTTCTATAGAATTGACTGTTCAGTTGACTTTGTACCATATGAGATTCAGGATCGATAGAGGTCACATTTGTGCATCTTTTCCTTCTGTGATGAGTTGAGGAATTAAAAATGAAAATCAAAAGATCACAAATCTGGCCCCGCATTAACAGTAGCACATATTTCAGAATGCTAAAGTTCCTGTTGACTGCTGTGGTGAAGCTGCTGAAATCTTAACAGTGG